TTAGGGGTGATAATTATTAAGATCTCATAAGGCAAACTATAAATGATATTATTTTATATATTACCTAACTGGCAATTATTCTTACCACAGACAAATGAGGTTAATACACCCATTTTACATGTAAAGTAAGTTTTAGAGGTAACTTTTGAAACACCTGAAGAATATCAATGAAAACCAATCATATGCTAGGCCTTCCTAAAATAAGAAGAAGATTTTGCTCAGCAAGACAACTAAGTGAGAAATCACTGCTGAAAGAACTATGGCTACATATTACTGACCAATATGTGAAATCTTGGGACAGATTAAAGAGATTTTTTGGTGACTTATGGTAATAGGAAACTACAGGAGGCATTCCAAGAAACCATAAAAATGCTAAAAGACATGGCTTTTCTGATTTTCTAAGCTAAGTTAGTAACTCTTACTTCTCTAGCATTCCATACTTGTTTCATTAATCATAATTTAATCTAAATGCTTATTTAATTGCCTCTCTAACCTACTAGACTGTCATCTTCATAAGGGCAGGAACTGTGACTACTTCACTCACTATTAAATTCCCAGAGCTTACATCAACGCCTAGCACCANGTGTGGTTAATGCTGAACACCTGCTTTACCTCAGGGAGTCTAGAATTTTACTATGTGCTAGAGAGTATGCTTACATAATCACCCCCCAATAAAAATTCTGAGCACTAAGTGTCTAATGAGCTTCTCTAGTAGATAACATTTTACAAGTGTTGTCACAACAGTTGCTGGGGGAATTTAGCACTTCTTGTGTGACTCCATTAGAAGAGGACTCTTAGAGGCAACCTGGTTTAATTATTTTGAAAATTTTAAAAGTAGGTACTCTTTGGAAACTGTCAAATATTTACCTTGAGCAACCAGATCTCGTCTCAACAATGGATAAAGAACAGGCTCTACACCATCCACCTCTTGTATAATAAGGGTTTTCCCAAAACGCACTGCCAACTCAAGAGCTGTAATAAAGTTACTATCCTAACAGAATAAAAAATATATACATATTAATTCCTTTATTACCTCAATATTTACTAAGGTCCTTATAGATGATGAATGAAGATATTAACAGGAATAATATAAACATTTAAAATTTCAATATGCATGTTAATTCAAATTATTTATGACTGCTTTTCTAGTTATGAGTACTTGGTGATAAATTACTTTACCTGAAGAAAATACCTAAAAAATTTCATAACTTAAATGGATACATAAGAAAATAAAGACTTTAACATTTTTTATTGTGGCAAAAAANGAAGAAGGGTCTATAAGAAATGGGCATACTCGACTCTAGTTCAAAGAAAAAAAAAGGAAAGATAACATTTTAAAAATAATTATATGCTTTTATTTAAATGAATATAATTTCCTAAAAATTACAAATCAATTACTAACTAAGCTTTTCTCTCGGGCTTTGGAGAACACAAATATACAACTACAAGAAGAAAAGAAAGGTACAGTTTTTAGCTGCACCAGAAGCAACTTTAATAAATTTCCAGTGACCAGAAATTAACAGTAAGTAATTAAATTTCAACACAGTAAAGCTAGTACAGTCTTACCACACAATAACAAAAAAACGTGTATATTAACAATATGATAAGCAAGAGCACTAGCACCATGCTGATACCATTTGCACCATTCTTTTTGGCTTTTAAAATTCACAAGTTATTCTCTCACTTTATATATTCTTTGGTTAAATAAACCATAAAGGCCTTACAAAAAAAAGTATGAGCTAATTATAAAATATTGCTGAAATATAATCAATATAATTGTTTACATTTTAAGAAATTAAGTCTTCTAAAGCAGTATATCAAATGTTACAAAAAGATTGTCCTACAGGAAAAAACTGCATAGGTTGTCAGTTAAGATCTAATGAACTAGAAACTCAATTTACTACAGAATGCTCTGAACTAATTAAACAAATAGAAAGTTAGAAACTAATGAAAATGCCCTGCACACACAGTTGGTACTTAGCAGATGAAAGAAAGCCAATTATATATGTATAAAATATATATCATATGTATGATAAATTTAAAAGTCATCAAATAACCATTGCTACCTAGTAAATCATATTTAAACAAGGATTGACCTAGTTTCTTTTTTTTCAAATTTTCATATTTATCTGATGAGTATACTGCAATTGTGTGCTATAGGGATAAGAGAACACATATGAAAGTCAGAGTAAAATAAAAACTTAGAATTGGGGTATATCCAATAAGAACATATACGTTATCTCAGATAACGCATACCAAGAGGAAGGGCAATGGTGGGGACCATGTGCCCTGTAGATGAACATCTTTTTATCACCAATGTTGTTTAGAATTGCTAGCACATGGTGACGATAAAGAGGTGGCTGGCTTTAAAACAGCTTTATTGTTCTAAAATTCTCTACAAGGGGCTGGCGTGTTAGCTCAGTTGGTTAGAGCATGGTGTTATAACACCAAGGTCAAGGGTATAGATCTCCATACCAGCCAGCCACCAAAAAATAAAATAAAATTCTCTACAGACAAGGCACCCTTTTTGTTTGCACCCAGAGTAGATTACTCTTACCATACCTCCCCTTATGTTACAACCCTGTATGATCTTTACCCAGCGTCTATTTCTTGAGGTTTCACTCACTGAACAAAATGGCATGGTTAGTAAACAGGCTCTTAAGTGTTATCATGGTGCTACACATAGGCATTAGATCTAATTTTATGCTAGCATGCAATAGCAAACATTTCATAATTCTACTTGATTTTGCCTAACCATGAAAGCAATTATTTTAATTTTTTAAAAAGTTCTTACCCATGATTTCAAACCAATGATCTGATGCAGTTAAATAAAAAAAAAGAGGAAAGTAATGTTTCAACACGTTTTTAGCTAAGAAAATATACTTAAAGAATTTCAAAGGGTACTTACAAGTTTGTTTCCATCTTATTTATATTTCTACAGAGGGATTTAGACAAGATTTCTAAGGTACAATTTATCTCTGTGGTCCATAGTTAAATGTACTAAAGTTCTACATTTAAAAAATTATAATAGATCCAAAAATGCTGACCTTTCAGTCATTCATTTGTTCTTTCATTCACTTATTCATGCATTAATTCATCTACAATATGTTGGATAACAACTACAGTAAGGCAGTACAAGGGGTACAGAAATTAATAAGATACATTCCCTCACCCTCAATGACTTCACATACAATAAAGAAGCAAAAATGAAAATTCCATCATCCAGAAGTGCACAAGGTACTACAGAAGGATACTGTGTGAAGTTAGGATAAGCCTCTAGGAAACAATTCAAGTCAAACTAAGCCAAGAAAGATTAGCTAGGCAAATAAATTTTTAAAAAAGCATTTCTGGCAAAAACAATAGCACGATGGAGAAAGGAATAAAAAAGTTGGAGCATTTGGGAAACTTCTAGTAGTTTGGCATAGCTGAAGTAAAAAAGTGTGGGCAAAAATGATGCATATAAAATGGCAAGAATAATCTGGAGTCTGTCTGCTCATGAACTTTTTATTCCATGCTGAAAGAGAATGAAATTTTTTATACTTCAGGCAATACGAATTCACTGAAATATATTGAGGCAATATTATGATCAGAATAATGTTTTAAAAAGATCACTCCAACAACAGTAAAGGAAGTGATAATGGGGGCAAGATACCATCTGATATAATGATGTATTCACTCAGGAATAAAATGATGAAGGCATACATGAAGCCACCAACAGAGGATATGATCAAAACAGGATAAATTCATGAGACATTTGAGAAACAGATTTAGCAAGAATAGTTGAATAAGTAACTGAATGAAAAATTAAAGAGACATAGGAAGAATGAGTTGCAGATTTGTAGCTTGCATTACTAGGCCAAGATTGGGATCGCTCCAATGATAGGGAATACAATAAATGTTTTATACTTCAGGCAATGTGAATTCACTGAAATATATTAATTGAGGCAATATTATGATCAGATTAAGGCTTTAAAGCAGTGACAGGGTGTTGGAGAAGAAGATATAGTAGAGAGCTGCCTTGCCTGCCCTCCATGCCCATTCAATGTATTTCATGGGGTTATCAATCACCTAGCATTGCACTCAAGAGATGAGCAAGCAACCCAAGGTAACCAATCAGAATCCTTTTGGGAGAGGATTCTGGGGAGAACAG